TCCCCTTCGATTTTCCAAGTTTTTTCAGGTATTTTTGATTCTGTTTATAGCAATTCAAGACATTCTATGTTCCAGAGTAAATATAGAAATAATTCATCCGATTGTCACTGAGTTGAAAATTAGATCTATATTTAAATTATCATTTCTGAGGTTCATTCTAGTTTTTAACTATAAACTATCTGCCCACTGAAATTGGAATCTAGACTTGGTTCGTACTTAGAACTTGAGAGCATAAACTTTTCTCTCACTTTTGCGGGATGGATGATACTTAAGTGCATTGTGACCTCATCCTGTGACAGGCCAATATGAGAATTTTGGTATCTGGGGGCGCTGGATTTATTGGGTCTCATCTGGTTGACAAGTTGATGGAAAACGAAAAGAATGAGGTATATTTATTGCATACTATAGGCTTTTGCGCTTGCATTTTAACCTTTGTGATCCACATTTTATCAAGACACATGCATTCCTCTGCTTTATGTTGCCTGCAAGATTGGATTTTTAATTGTTTCGGTTACCAACTGTATGTCAAGTTTTCTGGATATAATATAATTAGAATAGTGCATTCATGGAATCCAGCAATGAAAGATGTGGAACTGAGTTTCTTTTTCCTGTTGATGTGATGTCCTTATGATTACACTTCAGTTCATTGTATCAAGAGTTGTGAATGTATGAACTTCATAATTATAATGAGAAGGAGATTCAGTTATAATATCAATTTCTGAATCTATCAACAATCTCAATCTATGTTGCCTAGGTACTTCTATCATGAAGCCGTACCCGTATTGGACACGTAACACGTACCCATACCCAAACTTCATGGACACTCATTGTGTATATGCATACATTTACTTAGATATGTACTCAATTATATGATATAAGTTTTAATTTAACACTTGTCATACGCTTCTTGGATGCATATCCTACACTTCATATCCATTTCTTGAAACTCGGTAGACATGGGTGGGGTTTGTTTCAGTCCATACCTAGGGGAGAGCAAATGGTTGGTTCAAACAATTTTGGCCCTTTTACTACACCGAACCCAACCCGAACTTGAACAGGAACCGAACCAGATCTCACTTAAGTATTTTGATTCGGTTCGGTTTGGTTTTTTCAGTTATCACAGGCTTTATCATCAAACAACATCAAGATGACAGCAACCACAAAAGGCTATCAAATACAAAATGAAAGAAGAAAGAGGGGTTGAAGCCTGTAACAAAAAGAATGTTGAAGAAGTTTAAGTGGAGAGAGGTTGAAGAAGGAACAAAGAGAAATGGTGGTTGAGATTTTAATTTTTGATGATGAAGAGAGAGAGAGAGACATGAGTTACTTCTGGCCTTCTAGATATTAGGGAGAGGGGAAAGAGCCAGCTAGTTCCCACATTCTCTCCAATAGTTATGGTGTCAGCTAATATTGAGTTGGGAAAATATTAGTCACATGGATCATTGAGTGGGCCCTGCGGAAAGTGGAGGGGTATGGAACTGGGTGCCATTTAAGTGGGTATGTGGTCGGTTTGGTGGATACGGGTTTAATATATTGTAATCCGACTCGAACAGAATGGAATATGAAACCGACCCGAACTGTTAAAAGCGGGTGGTTTGGTCAGTTTATTCAGTTTTAACTGAAGTATGCTCAGTCCTACTCATATCCAAGTTCAAAACAATGATTTTGAGGGTCGTCTGTGTGTCTAGTTCAAAAACGAGCAGTTTTGAACTTATAATAATCGACATAATAAAGAAACTTAAGATTGTTAATAAGAATTTTTATTATAATAACACGTAAATTAAAAAACAATAATGATCTCATGTAAATTATTAATTTCAATATATATGTAGCCTTGTCCCCATACCCTACATTTTACAACTTTGTTGTGTCATGCACCCGCGCCAGTGTCCGTACCTATTTCCATGCAACTTAGATCTCAAATTTTCCAATATGATATAAGATATTTTAGATGCTGGTTGTTTTCGCCAAAAGTCGAATTTGTTGTCGAATTCATTATATATTTAGTCGATTACAATAAATTCAAAGAAAACAGCCTTTTTATAAGACTCTTTTACACAACAAAAAGAAAATTACAACTCTTGAGAAAATAAACGCAGGATCGTTGTTTGGATCACTGCTTTCGTGGGTTCTTTGCCTGTGCCGGGAGCGCTTTGACTCGTGGACCACCAAATCACAGATTCTGATTGAATCGTGAGGGGTTTATGATTCTGACTTCGTTTATCGAAGTGAGAAATTGAAACGATATCTTATCGATGTAAGATAGTCGTTCTTCTTGAAATCAAGTCAAAGCCTGATTATCAAGGAGTGGCCGAAAGTTCAAGACCTCTGCTCTCTCTCTGCTCTGGATTGCTCTGAAGTGCTCCAAATGATCAGCCCCTTGGAAAAATGGCCTTAGGAGGGTATTTATAACTTCCAAGAACAGTTGGCAGAAAACAGGTTCGCGAGACAGTGTTTGCTGTCTCGCTGGGCGAGACAGTGTTTGCTGTCTCGGCCCGCGAGACAGTAAACGTTGTCTCGGAAATAGTAACTGTCATAAAAGTCTGTCTCGCCCGCGAGACAGTAAAGACTGTCTCGCACGGCGAGACAGTAAAGACTGTCTCGCACGGCGAGACAGTAAAGACTGTCTCGCACGGCGAGACAGTAAAGACTGTCTCGCACGGCGAGACAGTCAAGTCTGTCTCGCGTGCGAGACAGTAAAGACTTGTGTTCTTCTGTCTTTTTGGATGATTTCCTCTTGAGCAGTATTTGGATATCTTTCAGCATTTTTTGACGCCTACACTGGTTCATAAAAATGTTTTAACGGGGACTCTTTTGCATTATACCATTCACAGTCCCTAATGAAACTTTTTCTGCTTCGTAATTTTTGTAATGCAACTGGCAGAATTTCCATTGTGCAATTGTAAGCGAAAAGTGATAGCTCCTAGTTGTGCACTTGCTTGTCTTCCCATTTATATGTGGTTCTTTTTAGATGCAAGTGTTTTTTGGAACATGGTTATTGTACATTTCGTTCTCTGTCTGCATATCGTAACTATACTTTTCTTAATGAATAATTTTGTTATTTTCAATAAACTCAGTTTGACTATTCATAGTAATGTGTCTCCTCCTGTTCAATGTGTTCAGGTTATTGTGGTGGATAACTTCTTTACGGGTTCAAAAGATAACCTAAGGAAATGGATTGGTCATCCAAGGTTCGAGCTCATTCGACATGGTAACATCACATCCTTAAGTCTGAAGATGTGGATTATTATATCCGTATTACTTATGACTTATGAGAATATGGAATTTTTATACCTGATTGAAATAAGCATGTAGCTTCCGTTGAAAACTGTGGTTGTCTTAATTGTCATGAAAGCTTGCAAATGGAATAACTATATTCATATGCATCATACATCAGATAAGTTCATTTGACCGAGATCACTGTGGTACTGGAGTTGTAGACCTGTTGTTGTGGTATCCCTTCGCCACATTGAGACAAGAAAGTTATACTATGTAAGATAACAAGGCACTAAGTAATAGAGCTGGGTAGGCTACTATTAATGGTATACACATATGGATACTGTCAACCCAAATTTAAAATTTGGATTCTGAAACTGAAAATCCAACCCGCTTGATTGTGATCTGCTATACATTAACTGCCAAGAAATAAAATTTCAAAGGATTTCAACATATTTTACCCGTGTATGATGTAACATATGTCATTCGATTCAGTGCTTCAGAATTTTTCGTAAAGTTGTTTAATTTTTGCCCCTGGATATATGATGTAATACACATCGAAATTTTTGAAATTTTATTTTTGTGTAGTTCATGTCTATTGCATCACATCCATCGGTTTGGATTTTCGATTTTGGAATCCAAATTTTAAATTTAGGTTAATAGTATACACTTGTTGGATACTACTAGGAGTAGCCTAGCCCATCTCTAAATAATACATGAACTAAACACTAATCAATTATTTAAGAAAAACAATAAAGTTTATATTTTCAGCACTCCGATGTGTCTCTCAAGTTGAATTTTAAGTTTTCTCAAGGTGACAGCAACTTTTCCTGCTAAAATTCTAGTTCATAAATGTTCATTTTACCATAGAGTTGGTTTACCCATCACATACAAAGAATTAACTTCCCAGAATTGTTTTCCCATTTCACGATCTCATTTTTTTAGAAACTGCAACATAATTTGTTTGAATATTTGTACTTTGCTGCAGTCTGGAATGCAGTAGAAATGTTTAGCACTTGATAAAATTGTTTCTAGGTAATTCAATTCTTATGAGGTGTTTATATCTTGATTTAGAATTTCATTTTCTTTCATCAGCTGTTGTAACCTTTCAGCATTCTGACGTATGGGTGTGTTCATTGATATCTCACCAACCTTTTCCCTTATCCTTACAGATGTAACAGAAACATTGCTCGTAGAGGTTGACCAGATCTATCATCTTGCTTGTCCTGCTTCTCCCATTTTCTACAAATACAATCCCGTAAAAGTATGTATTCATTTAGCCAATTTATGTCATTATCATCTCTTTGCATATATAAGCCAATTCTGCTGGCACTTGACAGTACTTAATATGTATTGATGATTATATTTATGGAACAAAGCTGTCATATTTAGAGTGAGCCAAACCTATCATATGTAGAGGAATATACAAAAGAGAGCCTTATACTGATCAGCTAGGTTCCTCGGACACAGTTTGTTCGTGTTCGACACGTGTCAGACATGGATTCTTCGTGGACACGCCGTGGACACGTGTGGTTCAAAGTGAAATGCAATTTCCCCATCACTTGTTACCCTAAACTAGTTTCTTTGCTAACAACATGTTCAAAACCAAGCAATTTTTTAACCCGAAAATTGAAACCCATTTTTTTAATATTTGAAAATACATGTCGTATATCCTATGTGATCAACGATTCAACGCTAAACTTTTATTATTAAACCTTATTCTTAGTTTGATTTAACTTGATTCTTAATGGTTATGGATAATAGAGAGAAACATACAAATGTTAATGGTACTTTAATTCAATATTATACACACGCGCGCGCGCACAGAGAGAGAAAAGCTGTTATAAACTTAATTGAATAGAAATATTTATCCACCTACTTTTTTATCCATTAGATTTGCTTTGAAATCTGTGCAAGACGTGAAGGATATCTTTGAGATGTGTGCATTGATTTGCATCATATGCTAGAACAAATCTCAAAGTAAATCAAATTGTTAAAAAAGTTGGTGGACAAGTACTTCTATCCACTTAAGTTTATAGAAGTTTTACTCGCTCTCTCTATATATATGTATATACCCACACAAACACTTATTTTATACACACACACATACATATATACATATATATACATATGTATATACATATACACATATATACATATCTATATACACATATGTATATATACATATGTATATATACATATACATATATATACATATGTATATACATATACACATATATACATATCTATATACACATATGTGTATATATATATATATATATATATATATATATATATATAGAGAGAGAGAGAGAGAGAAATATGTATATATATATATATATATATATATATATATATATATAGAGAGAGAGAGAGAGAGAAATGGAGAAACTTAGTACCAAACACAAAGTTGTGCTTGTTAATAAGGTGGCTCATTCTCATCCACTCATTCAAATAGTCCCTGCTATAAAAAATAACTTTTTAATTAACCGACCCATGTGAATATGGTCCCTCTATTTGAATGAGTGGATGAGAATGAGCCATCTCACTACTAAGCACAAAAGTTTGTGCATGGTACCAAGTTCCCCCATCTATATATATGTATACTGTGTCCCCATATCCTATGGTTTACAAATTTGCCGTGTGTCCCGTGTCCGTATTCGTGTCCGTGCTACCTAGCTAATCAGTAACTTGTTTATGTGCTCATATTTTGTATAATGGGAATGAAAATATGCTGAATTTTGCATCTATATTGGATTTTTAACCCGTAGTTAAACTTTCTTATGTAAATATTACCTTTGAGATAGTACAGAAAGTTGTATCATAAAACATAATTTATTACTCAGTTCCCAAGAATAAATGAATATTACATTAAAAAAGAGAAATATTTATCTCCCTACATTTTGGCAGTATTAATGCCACATATCCATTCAGACTTCTTCATCTTTCATGATCTGTTCTTCTCAACCATTCAAGTCCAAATCTCTATCCATTTCTTGCACATACTGTCACGACCCGGGCCTGTGGGCCCGTTGGCGCGTGCAAACCGTGGGACCCACCGAGTATAACGTGCTATTTGACTCAAACCATTGCCAAAATCGACTAGCCGATGTTACACTTGAGTCTTTTAGCTTCACTATATAAATCCTTAATTTTCTCTCATTCCCACCGATGTGGGACTAAGTTTGTAAGGTGGGAAGTGTTGTTGTCATCTCACTTGACAGCACACTCACGTGGGATGTCACACATACACACTCATGCATGCACATGTTCTGTTTTCTGAGCGGTTTGCAGAATCATCTTGAGCTAGTGAACCGCAACCCATGTTCTAGTTCATTGATCATTTTCTTGATTACAACCATTTTACCATAACCCATCTCTTAGATTTGAGTTATGTTACCTTTCCATTTCCAGAAATCTCGATATACCAGTGACACTTATAATTCTTCTGCATATTCAATGATGACAATCTTGACCTTTGTAGACTATGTCTCTAGTTTCCACAAATGTCTTAATCTCTTTTTGCTAGTAGTTCTCTCTTTTCAATCAGCATGCATCTGTGGGTGAATGATGGTAATTGAACTTGAAAGTCATGCTCTAAAACGTGATGTTTACCAGACCATAAAGACAAATGTCATTGGAACGCTAAACATGCTGGGGCTTGCAAAGAGGGTCGGGGCAAGGTATGATCTTTTTTCTTTCTCGTTGCTTTTGTTGGTTTTGCACCAGAAAGGCATTTACATTTTTGCCACATGGTTTCTGTGACAGGATTTTACTTACCTCAACTTCAGAGGTCTATGGTGATCCTCTTCAGCATCCCCAAACAGAAGAATACTGGGGAAATGTCAACCCTATTGGTATATAGATTATTTCCTTGCAGATGATTTATATTCTATTGTTTTGATTACTGATTAGTTGCATTCTGTGTTTTCGGGCTTCCTCATGTTGTTTCTCGCGTATTTCTTTGTCTGTATTTATGAATTAATTTCAAATGCATAGGGATTCTTTAGGACTTTTAACTTTTTCTTCATAGAAATTTGTTCTCACTACACACTTCCTCGCATGAGGGTTACCTGTTTCTCTCCATAGTCCATACATTGATGGAAAGTATGATCCACAGCTATTAACACACACACACACACACACACACACACACACACACACACACACAAAAAAAAAACAGAAGAAAGAAAAAAGAAAAAATGGGGGGAGAGGGGAGAAGAAAGATTGACGTGCTTGTAAGGCTTTTATGTGATGCATGATGATTAAGAGAGATTTACACTGTTGGAAGGTAAAAAGGGATAAGGTTGAAAAATCTGACAGATTAATGCTTCTATGCCTAACATCATAACATGTGTTAGTGTTCTTTTTGTTTTCTCATCCGTTTTTCATGGAAACTGATTAAATATCTAAATCCATCAGCTGGACAAGGACTGGAATGCAGTAATGGACTCTCGTTACCAAACACTTCACTTTCGTATATTTACGGTTTTACCGTCATTTTATTTTATGCTATCATACTATTTTGGTACTAGTTCTTTTTCCCACCATTTTTTTTCTTTTGTTGTTTACAATATTCCAGATTCCTGACAGTTAGTATGACTCTCACATCAAATTAGTTTTGTAATAAGTTTTTTGATTGTGGGACCTTATTGATTGTTTTAGGAGTTAGAAGTTGCTATGATGAGGGGAAGCGTGTGGCAGAGACTTTGATGTTTGATTATCACAGACAGCATGGTCTAGGTAAGAGATTGTGCTTTACCAGCTTAAGTGGTGTTGTTCCTGTGTTTTCACTTTGGTGGCGTTCTAGTTCTAGAAATAATTTTCTGAAGATGAGATCCATGATATACGATTGATTGCAATCTATCCTCTCTATACAGAAATTCGAATTGCCAGAATTTTCAACACCTATGGCCCACGAATGAACATTGATGATGGTCGTGTTGTTAGTAACTTCATAGCTCAAGCAATCCGGTATTATTTCAATCTTTAGCTTCTGTCATCACAAGATTCATCAACATAAGGTACTGAGGAATTAATTGTTTCTTCTTTGCATCTTTAGGGGTGAACCATTAACAGTTCAGGCTCCAGGAACCCAAACCCGAAGTTTTTGTTATGTTTCTGACATGGTAACTTTTCTGCTTCTGTCTATGAATCTGAATGTTTTCGGTGTATAAATCTAATTATTGTTGGATAATTTAATCAATTAACTTTTCTCTTCTGGAGGTTGATGGTCTTATTCGGTTGATGCAAGGAGAGAACACTGGTCCTATTAACATTGGAAATCCTGGTAATTTTGAATCACTTGATGGGTACTCGAATCTCCCTTGTGAAGGCATATCAATATATAAAACCCTTCTTCATCTTTCCAAACTGTTATTGACGTTGCTCCCGTTGCAGGTGAATTTACAATGATGGAACTCGCTGAAACCGTTAAGGAGGTGAATTCTGAGCTCCATAGTTCACTCACTTCTATTCAATATTCTGCGCAGTATGCCGATAACTTGTAAATTGAAACATTGCAGTTGATCAACCCGGAGGTGCCCATTAAGGTAGTTGAGAACACCCCCGATGACCCGCGGCAGAGGAAGCCAGATATCACCAAGGCTAAGGAGTTGCTGGGTTGGGAACCGACGGTCACATTACGCCAGGGCCTGCCGATGATGGAGGACGACTTCAGGCAGCGGTTGGCTGTGCCCAAGAAACAAAGCAGTTAAAAACAATACCTCTTACCTTTATCTTAGAACATGCTTCCCTATATAAAGGGAATTGAGCGGTTTTCTACAGGTATTATACGTAAAGAGCCCGGGAGCGGTATCGAGGAAATCATTTGAATAGTTTTTGTTAATTTATTTATAACTGAGCTTGGTGTAGTATCTTATTTTGAAGAACGCTACTATATTTTGGATGTCTGAGGATAGCTGTATGCTGGTATAATTGGGCTTAATACGTAAGGTTTCCAGTTTGAAATTCAATCTATGTAATGAAAGCTCCCCAGAGCGAATCGTCTCAATTAGGCTTTTGGAAAAAAAAAATATGGCGACGAGCAAGAAAAACCGCAGCTTCGCTGCGCCTGTGCTCGCGTTTTCCTGGCCGTCGTAGTCGACCGTACGTGTTGCCCTTCACTTATGCCGTCACTGATGAGGTAACAAAATAGTTGGGAAATGTGAATCGTATCGTATGTGGTGCTTTGAAGTCGTCATTATTAGCCTCGTAACTTTCATTTCTTTCACGTGGTGGGAAATTTGCATTCTTGTGCTAGAATGAGAAATTTGCTTTAATAAAAAAAACCTCTTTCCGATACGCAGCTTGCTGCTCAGAATTGCGTATGGGAGAACATGTGATTCTCTCTCACCTATGCCGGCCACGACAAAAATAAAATAAAATAATAATAATAATAATAATAACAGTAGAGCTGTACGTGTATATAACAAAAATCATATTTATAAAACAAACACGAACCCGGTAAAATCATGAATATAAGGAATTTAAATGAGTATGTTTGAGTATTTTAAAGAAAACAAAATAAAATCATAATATAATAATAATCAAGTAAAAGCCGACTAATGCAAAAATAAATAAATAAATAAATAAAACATAATAGGAAAAATTGCTTCAAGGCCCCAAATTCATATTTTCAATGTGCCTTAGCCTCCCCAACTTTCAAACATGTGCTGCAGCCTCGCCTTTTTGAAAAAATTATTAAAAGCTCCTCTCCCTAAGTTCCCATGCAAACTCCATACACAATCCCCATTTTACCCTCCCCTACACCCCCCTCCTCCTCCTCCGTTCCCCCTCTGCCCCCGCCCCGCCTCCCTCCCCTCCCCCTACACCTCCTTCTCCTCCCCCGCCTCCCTCCCCTCCCCCTACCCCCCCCTCCCTCCCCCTCC